CTCTCTCTCTCTCTCTCTCTCTCTCTCTCTCTCTCTCTCTCTCTATCTATCTATTTATCTCTCCTCTGCACGTCCTTTCAATCGAGTTAATCGTTGGAGTGCGTGTGTCCTCTTACTTCCGATCGTGTTGCTTGCTCTCTCTCTCTTTGCCGTCTCTTACTTCCAATTGTGTTGCTCGCTCTCTCTCTCTTCGCCGTCCCGCTTACGATGGTCCCGTCGCGAACAGCGCAGCAGACTTGGACTCGCAGTACTCATAGAACACGACCATGCGTTGCATCTGCTTCATCTTGCCATGCAGGCACTTCAAAGGCACTCCCGGCGGGAGGCGCCTAAATGCTTCGTAGCCAAATTTCACTTGCTTGCAGCTGGTCAAGAAGACGAGAATTTTGCCCCGCAGGTGAGACTTGATGAAGGACCAGAGGATGTCCAGCTTCTTGTGCAGAGGACACATGATGGCCGACTGGCGGGGCTCAGAAGGAGTGGCAGGGGCGGACTCCGCGTGCACCGACAAGTACTCGGGGTCGCGCAAGCTCAAGCGCGCCAAGTCGCGCACAGATTTCGTCTGAGTTGCCGAGAACAACAAGGTTTGGCGGGACATCGGCAGATTCGCGATGATCGCGTTCAGCGTCTTCGCAAACCCTAACCCTAAATCGAGAATGCGATCGGCTTCATCCAAGACCAGCATTTGCAAGTCGCAGGAGTCGAAATTGGGAGCCTCGTCCATGTGCTGAAGAAGCCTCCCCGGTGCGCAAATTTTGATGTTCAATCTATATTCACTCTCTCCTTTTCCGCCTTGACATCTTTGCCGCCAATCAGCAGTCCCCCGCTCATCAAGTGATACTTGCCGACGGTCTTGAGAACATCGAAGATCTGGACGGCCAGCTCTCTCGTCGGGGAGATGACCAACGATCCCGCCCCATCCATCGTGCTCCACCTCATCCTGTACAGCTTCTCCAGCAGGGGAATCACGAATGCCGCCGTCATTGCCACCACTTTCGCCTCTCTCAGTGCCTTCTTCGTCTTCTCGGAAGTCGGCAGATCTTCAAAACGTTTTGCCCCTGCATAAGGCCTTCTAAAACTACCGCTCCCAACTCCTACCTCCCTTTCTTCCTTACCTCCCCCCCTTGTTGCACTTACCGCCTTCCTCTTCTTCTGCCCAATCAAGCTTTCCTTTTGTGTCTTATTCGCATGATCGGCCAGGTCCTTGGCAACACCAACGTCACAGCCGCCATCTCTGTCCATTGACGGGCCAAGATCGATAGCCAGAGGAGTACTGCCCGGCGAGGCGAACCGGCCTCGATTTCCGGTTCTAGCGGTCGGATCTCTTCAACTTCTCGTTGGAGTGCCGTCGGCATTCGCCTTCGATGATGAGCTCCCTTTGCTCCTTTTCCTCCTCCCTTTCCTCCCTTCCCTCCTCCTCCTCCCTTTCCTCCTTTTCCTCCTCCTCGTCGTCCTCCCGACGCATGCAAACGCTTTCAGACTATACTCTCCCTCCTCCCTCCTCCCTCCTCCATCCTCCCCAACCCTTAAACCCCCGCTTTGGCTGCTGTTGTTCCACTCTCTATACCAGTCCTCTGATTTGTATGCAGTGTTGTTAGAGATTAGCATATCTTCTTCCGTATGGTCAAAAGATCTACCGGATATTCCTGAAGATTACGGAGAAACGTTATCTCGATTGAAGAGTTGGAACCTCATTGGGTTTTTTTTTTCATGGGACTGATTAGCAGAAATCAAACACTAAAAGGAGGAAACATTTTTTCCTTTCTTTAAGTTTATACACAGTACAGAGGCGCACAGCAAGCCAATCACAGTGTTTTTTTTGTATTTATTTGTTATTCATGTAATTTTCATCAAGTTAATTGCAGATTTGTCGTATCTGGAGTCTTATCCAGATTTTCATCAAGTTATTACTGATTTATTATTTATTTATTTATTTATTTATTTACGTATGTATTATCAATATCCAACAACAACAACAACAACAACAAGCCCACACATCCCATACATCTAATTAAAGCAGAGACAGCTCGCATGTCGAAGGCGAGGAATCTTGTTTTCTTAAAACAGTATTTCGCGTCGCCGATGACTTAGTCATTCTGGTGGCAAGTGAATGACGTCTCTTTTTTTTCCAATTGCCTAGCCCGCCTCCTTCAATTGCCTTCTCCACGTCTTTAAATTGCCTTCCCCGCCTAGGTCAATTGCCTATCCCACCAATAGAACCAAGACTCTGTTAAAAAAAAAAAAAAAAAAAAAAAAAAAGACGACCGTCAAATTATTTTGGGTGCAGAGTGAAGGTGCGCATCGTCTGCTGCACCTGCACCCTCTACATACGTCCTTGCCGGGCGGGTGTGGGCTACTTTTGTCTCTCGCAAACCTTAGCGGGCTAGGAGTACCTTCACAGCAAAAAAACATGAGTAGCCAAGGATAGGCAAAGTCAAGGGGGGTAAGGTAAGGAAGGAGAGGGTGATGCATGCCAAACAGGAGGAGAATGTGGCAAAGATGGGGGGAGCGAGGGGGAACGTGGGCTAGCACACACAGAGTCACCCCATTGCGCCGCGACCTCCATGATGACACCATCAAAAACAGGAAGAAGAAGGGAGAGGGGACAGAGAGAGAGGGAGAGATGGCGAACGTAGGAGTACATGGAGAAGAACTGCCGGAAGTAAAGGAGGGCCGCGGCGGCGCTCAATCAAGCAGGCACCCGCCGAAGAGACGGCTATGGAGACCGGAGTAAGTTCAAATAGAATTCCCCCGTGCAAAAAAGGCTATGGAGAGGGAAAGCGAGGGTATACTCACACTTGAGACACTTTCTGTCGACTGGTTTCCGGCCGTAACTGCGGTCAAATGCATCCAGGTGGGGCCGTAATTGCGGTCAAAAACGTAAACGAAAGAATTACTGTAAGTACGGTGTGCGCTACACAAGAACGCTCCCGCGCAGAGACGGCTATGCGCAGGGCGTAAGTACGGTGTGAGCTACACAAGAACGCTCCCGCGCAGAGACGGCTATGCGCAGGGCGACGAGTTCACTAGAGAACATCCCCGAGCAAAGACGGAGAGGGAACAGTCATCGACGCACCTCGCGGTATTGTGGAGGAGAGGCTGCTGCTATCGCGCCGTGAAAACCTGCAAACCCGCGAACCGGCGATGGCGGGGCGACAATGAGAAAAAAAATGATTTGGTCCATCGGCCTCCGACCTGAGGGCTCGCGGAGGGCTCGCGGAGGGCTCGAGGGCGCGGGAGGGCTCAAGGAGGGCTCGCGGAGGGCTCGGGGAGGGCTCGCGGAAGGCTCGCAGAGGGCCTTAGCCAACACATCTCCGAAGCCGCAGCGCGCCACCGCCGCACAAGATCTGCTCACGTTCCGGCGAGCCCTGGTGGCCACGCAACTGACCAGCAGCAGGTGACTCCGAAACGAGTTTTGCAGGGTCTGGGGATGTACCTGCGAAACACACTGAGAGGAAGGAGGGGGTCGCTGACAATGAAATGACCCCAGGAATGGTTTGGATATCGTGATAAGATCGCAGGGCCAAGCCCCACTGGTATTATGTCCATGACATGATTGCACGAATCTGGCTAATATGATGAAGAGAAGTGTTTCATAAGCCTAGCGCCATGGCCTGGCCCCAGGAACCAGGAACATCACTGGTGCTAGTTTGGGGCTAAGGAAGAAAAGCCCAAATCTGGTGTGAACATAGCACAGTTGGGGGTATAGTGTACTTGTTGCGCAAAATTTGGACTATTTGGGGAAAGTCCTAGACTGTCTATGCCCTAACATCATACCCACAAATATATATATATATATATATATATATATATATATGGAAAGGAATGTATCCGCGATTATGACCAAATGTTGTCAATCGTGTAAAAGAAGTCCAACGCTGATAATGCCCTACAATTTTTTTTTTTTTTTTATATCTCCACGCACTCAAAGGATTGGTTTATACAGGAATCACTTATGTTTTCAATCCATCACCGGTGTATCTATTGCTTATTAATGAAACAAGAAAATGGACAGATGACAACCACACTCACATAATTTATGGATCATTATGTAAATATTTATCCAAATCCAATCAATCATTATTCCAAACAAACATAATAACAAAAATAACCACGAAAGTAGCGATTAAAAAAAAACAAAAAACGTAATAATAAACTTAAAAAAAAAAAAACAATTCATGTCCATGCATAGCAAACGAAGTTATGTTGCAAATATAAACAATCAAATCATTGCATGGTCATGAGCTTGAATAAAAAAATGCATTTTTTTTCCCCTCATGTCAAGCAAAACCTCTTGTATATTTACAGTCGCTACAAACAATATGATGAACCCATTAAATTATAATAAAGTACAGGTATTAGTAAATCATACTTCAAAATTGTAAAAATAAAGTTATATGTAACAAAAACTCTTATAATATATAATCAAATTTCAGGGTCTTATATAAAATGGGGGTAAAAAATGTGTTTTATTGTGATTTTAATATTGGTTGCATGCTCGACAGACGCTGATTATTTTATAAAAAAACTATTATTAATATCGCAAATATCAATAATAAATAATTACATTAATAAATCTTGAAGGACATAAATAAATTGTATCTTATTAACAACTATGTCACTTATTTATTTCATATTGTGAAAACTTTTTGACAATATTAATGATAAACATTACAAAATTAAATATTTATTATTTTTAAAAATAATAAAAATGAATACATATTATACGCTCAACAAATTATTTTAAATAAATGACGGAGATAGGTATTAATATTATACTTTACAACTACCATAATTGTTTGTGTATATAAATGCAAGGTTAATGATTTTGTATTAAAAATATGTATATTTTTTTATCTTATTCTATTTTAAATTTTATTTTTTTTTTGCAAATAGTAGGTTACCTCAGTCACCTTGTTTTTCCCCGCCACCCGATAGTGCAAGGACTAAAGAAGATTAAAAAAATATATATATACAACTTTTGTCTCGGAATCCCATAAAAAATATTTGTCATATTTAAAATAAAAAAACAGCATTTATATGTATATATATGCGCAGCACGACGAACATGTCCATGCCCCTTCGCGTTCATACGAACATATTCGGACAAAATTTTATTTTAGTAAAAGAAACACAAACATCAGTTTTTTATTTTTAATTCACTTTTGGCTAAAAATTTGAACATGTCTCCAAGGTAAAAAATGGATGTAATGTTTTTTTATATGGAGTTTTTTTTTTTTTTTAATAATATTGATCGAAGTTAGGCTAACATAGTGGTCCGGGGCCACTTGCCCAGCCGGGCCCAAAAAAAAAAAAAAAAAAAAAAAAAAATTAACTTTATTTTTTATTTTAAATTTGGTAAAAAATTTCGAAGTGATCATGGGGTAAAAGTTGTTCAATTTATTGTTCTACAAAACATAGTTGTTTTTCAGATTTTTTTAATTTTTTAATTTTTTATTTTTTGTTAGGACCTTTCTTGGTCCTTGCACGAGCAGGCTGTCCCGGAAAAAAAAGTGACTCGGGCGGCCCGACCGGTACCCTAGGTTCGAAGGGTTTTTTACGCTTTTTCGATTCGGGCGAAAATGTTCGTTTTTGCCTCCAAACATGAACACAATGCAACGTATATATATATATATATATATACAGGGTAACCGGCGTTCGGAACGGGCCGAACGCCCGAACCCGAACATATGGGACCCCTTGGGAATGCGTTCGGCCGTTCGTAACGAACGCGGACCCAAAAAAAAAAAAAAAAAAAAAATCATAAAATAAATATAAATAAAATATATTTTATGGAAAAAAATTAATTAAACAAGATTTGCCTGAGCATTACATCCTAATTCCTTACCAAATTTGAAATAAAAATAAAATATGGAAAACAAATACTAATAATAAAAATAAAAAGAGAATTAAATTTAGTGAGTGTGCGAGCATGTTTTCGACACCGCCATCTTTGGCAATTTTTTTTTTTTTTTTTGCATAGCTAAATACCCTGAAAATTTACAGATATTCACATAATACAAAACCCACTAAAAAAGTTTCAAAAAATAATAAAATTGCTTAGATCCCGAACTAAAGTGAAAACAAAAAGTAAAAATTGAAAAAATACGTGGGCGAGCACGTTTTGACACCGCCATCTTTGGCGATTTTTAGTTCTCATTTGGCTAAGCCAAAGGACTTGAAAATTTACGGGCATGTACCTCACGTCATAGAGAACTCACAAAAAACAATTCAGAAAAAAAAAAAAAAACTTAGGTCCCGAAGTAATTTTTGGTGGGGGGCAAACGCCGTCGGGTTTAGACCCCGTACGGGACCCCGAACGCCCGTACCCGAACGCCCGAACACGAATGCCCGAACGTATGGGACCCCTTCGGAAGGCGTTCGACCGTTTGGGCCGAACGCGGAAAAAAAAAAAAAAAAAAAAAAAAAAAAGTCATCAAAAAAATCTGAAATAAAAATATGTTATGGAGAAAAATAAATTAAACAAGATTTGCCCGAGCATTACATCCGAATTCCTTACCAAATTTGAAAAAAAAAAAATACGAAAAACAAATACTAATAATAAAAATAAAATAAGAATTAAATTTAGTGAGTGCGCGAGCATGTTTTCGACACTGCCATCTTTGGCGATTTTTCATTTTTTTTTGGCAAAGCTAACTGCCCTGAACATTTACAGATGTGTACTTCACATAATAAAAAACCCACTAAAAAAGTTTCAAAAAATAATAAAATTGTTTAGACCCCGAACTAAAGTGAAAACNAAAAAAAAAAAAAAAAAAAAAAAAAAAAAAAAAAAAAAAAAAAAAAAAAAAAAAAAAAACAAAAAAAAAACAAAACAAAACAAAAAACATGTTTCAAAAAATTTCGAAAACAAAATATGTTATGGAGACAAATAAACTAAACAACATTTGCCTGGGCACTACATCCAAATTCTTTACCAAATTTGAATTACAAATCAAATATAAAAAATAAACACTATGATAAAAATAAGAAAAAATAAAAGGAGAATTAAAATGAGTGAGTGTGCCAGCACCTTTTCGATACCGCCATCTTTGCCGATTTTTATTTTTTTTGGCATTGAAAAATGCCCTGAAAATTTACAGATATGTAGCTTACATAATCAATAACTCATTAAAAAAATTTGCAAAATATAATAAAATGTTTTCAGCCCCCGAACGCCCGAACATTCGAGGGTCAGCCCGGGGGTCCCCGAACGTTCGGTCAGGTAACCCTGTATATATATCGTCTCATGGGAAGCTGGTAAATAGCTTTGAGTCAAACAGTCCTCTGCGTAAGTCCTATAGGGTGCCTAAGTTTACTGCGACATACCGTTTAGTCACTATGATGATTATCTTAAGACATATATGAGGGACCTTGCTAGGGGGTTGATCTGGCATCACCGGGACGCAACCCCCAATGTTGGTTGTTGACCGGCACAACCTGGTAGCGGATCCACGTCTTACCAAAGGGGTAAGGCTTGAGTGGTGGGCCGCCCCGAAGAGTTTTAGCCCCTCGGGATGTTAGAGGAATAAGAGTCGAGTCTGTATGTTGAGAATCCTGATTGAGACCTTATGAGGAAAAATCGCGTATAGTTGTACCGTCGCTAGAATAACAACGAGGCGGGTTGTAGATCTGGGTTGATCAACCAGACTACGGTGGGCCAAGATGGAGACCTTACCCTCCTGTACTAAACTTCATAAGAGGTTTGTGACTAAAAGTTATTGTTTTTTTTTTTATTATTTGGTAAGAAAAAAACGACAGCCAGGGTTGTCAGGCCGAACGTACGGAGGCCCCTAAACTGATCCCCGAACGTTCAGGTGTTCGGGTCCCTGTACAAGGCCCGAACCTGAAGGGGTTCGGACCCCGCAAAAAAATATTTTAACACCTAAATATTATTAGTTTTTTCTGAAAATTTGTTTGTGAGTTCTTTGTGATGTAGTTATCTCCCGCTTAATTTTGAAGCCATTCTGTTTATCCAAAACAAAATGAAAAATCGGCAAAGATGGTGGTGTCAAAACTTGCTTGCCCACTCACTAATTTGTTTTTTCTCTCTCAACACTTTTTGTTTTGGTATGATGCTGACTAGAATGGTCGAAGCACTGCGTGTGCTTGCGTCGAGACTGACGTTTGATGGACGGGGTTGGCTTGCCAGCGGAACCGTGATCCAGGGTGAATTCCGTTGATTTACGTGAGACGGTATTCGGGTCAGTATTGTGCGAAGTGCGTGAGTCTATGAGTTGACCGTGTTTGGCCAACGGTAGAAGCCGTCGACGGCCTTGGAATGACCGACGTGAGTAGGGTGCAATATGGTTGGAAGTCG